TATATATTATATTTGTTTCATTATATCTGATGTACGTCAAGCAAATTGCAATGAAGTCTGATTTAACGTGAGGGACAATTGGAAAACAGTATAAAACTTTTTCGACATTAGCTAGCGAGTAGTTGCTATCTTACTTTTCAAGCATTAATCAAACTTATTTGGCACATATATTGAGTGAAAAAGTTGATTTTGTCTACAAGTATTAGCTAAAAATGCAAAATATTAAAGTCAATCATAGTATTGTATGAAACCAACTTTAAATAAGTGCTACTTGTTGAAAATTCAAAATAAATGGCACCAAAATAGGATAATTATTGAGACAAAAAATGTTCGTATGATCGAATAAAAGCTCTGTGAAGTGATTGGAGGTGAAAAAATGAATTGTTTTTCAAACATAGTTTTGTAAGTACAAAAAACAGATATATGCTATTTATAGAAGGCTTAGCTTTTTTTGTGCAACTGTAATGTTTGAATTTTTTGGGATAATACATAAAAACAAGTTGAAGACTTCTTCAAATGATAATATGAGCTAAATTCTGAGATTTTACTTTGATAAAATTCAATTCACTGCTTGTAAATGCTAATTTTTATATAAAAGTAAATATGATACTAGCAAATTTTTTGAAATTTGACTAAAAATGTTTCTAATTTGCAAATAAATTTGAAATTAAATAATTATCATGTGCTCTTATAGTAGATGGATAGGAGGGAAATTTTTTCTCCACCTCGCTTTGCTATTAGTGAGAATACAAAATAATCGTTTAAAATAATATAGTGAGTAAAAATATTAAATAATGAAATACGGCCGAAGAACTCATGAAGCAACTCCAGTCACATTACAATATTCTACTCTGATATCTCAGGTTCAAATGAATTAATTATTCATAAATTTCAACTTCACCAAAAATCACTATTTTTCAATAATTTTATAAAAATGACTACTTCTGTACTAACTCAGATTCGCATTATTTCACGTGCTTAGCATATTTTTTAAATTCTCATTAATATTTTGTAGTCTTCTAAACGTTGTTCTACCGAATATCAATAATTTGAATAGTATTCCACTTTATTTTTGCTTTTCATTGCATTTATATTAAGTTAATCAAGCGATTACATTTTGAAAGGAATGGTCATGTAATGAATTATACAAAATTTGACTTCATAGATATTATCGTGATATTATCCTTATCATTATCACATATACAAATTTATTACTTCTCATATTAATAAAAATTACTACAGTTATCAGTGATAAAATAAGTATTTCTTAGTGATAATGTGATAATGACTAGAACGAAAATGCTTAACATTTAAAGAATTACATTCCGCTATATGTTTAATTAGTTCAATGTATTGGTTGTATTTTATGTTACACGTTGCAAGACCCGTGTTTGTTGCCCAATTTTCCGAATGTGTTATTTTTGAAAGAACCTAAACCACGTCGAATACCATAATCCATTGATTTGGTTCGACTAACACTCTTCTTGACTGGATTTAGTGGTAAAGTGTCATAAAGCAATCCATGCCCTGAACTACCGTTAGATGATGTTGCTGAACTTGTTTCTGAGCTGAAATAATACGCTAATTTTTATCTTCAAGAATTTAGTCATTGGTTCAGAATTTTAAAATTTATACTTCAATAATCAAATTATTAATTTAATTAAATTAAAACAATCATAAATATTAATGATACAGTATAAAAAAACAAAAATTACAACAAATTTAAAACAAAGATTTTCATTACTAATTTCAAAAAATAAAACATAGACTTGTTTAGCAAGATAAAACTTCACTAAATAAGTTTTGCATGTTTCGTTATTGAAAAATTCGTGTTGAACTTTATTTTTGATTAATTTAACCCGCATAAAAATTACTTCACTTTAGATCAGAATCGTTGACTAAATTCAAACAAATAAACTAATGAGTTGCTTTAGTTACTAGAGACGTGTGACATGAACGTACCAGTATCAGTAGTAATATAGACGTGTATTTTAGGAACTTGGATTTTAGGGAATAAAAAGTCAAAATAAAATATAAACTTACTTTGAAGAAATTAAAAATTCACTTTGACCGTCACCGCAGCTATCTCTGATTGTAGACGAATCCTCATAAAGTCGTGGAGTTGACCCTATTGCTTTCGTAGCTGATAGTAGAACTGTCGAACTGTTGTAATGAATTGGCGATTTCTGCAAATTGTACTAAAATCAAACAGATTGTGTATTTGAATCTATTTTGCATGAATTTTTGTGCTAGGCTTACAATACTTGTTACAATTTAATCATTATTTTAGTATTGATTTAATTCACAATAACTTAATCTAAACGCAAGCAGTTGTTTTGTATGAGAAAATAACATTACAAGAAAGTATATTCTCATTAATTTGTATTAATTTCATTAAAATTAAATTATTTATCAAATAGAATTTTTATGAATTGATTTGGCTATTATTATTTATACTGAATAATCATATAATCTGAACCATTAAAGAAAATACACACCTTTTCTTCACTGTTTTTGCTCTGCTTGATAAGTTTGTAGACTAGAATAAAAAGAATAACACCAATTAGAATAAATCCTGTCAAGCAAAAACCATACAACATTGCATTCATTTGGGAGGTTGATGATGGAACAGGGGTAGATGATGACAAGTCTTTATTATCCAATAACACTGACTTAAGTTGACCTTCGTCAAAAGATCGCCAACCTATACCTAAAAATTTAAAAATATAACTACAAACTAGAATAGATAGAGATTAGTAATATTAAGAATATTACATGCAAATACTAGATGAATGTTTTTATGCAATTAATTTAGGAAAAAAACGTGAAAAATATTTTTATTTTAAATATACACTCCTTAATTTTTCAAACTTTTTAAAGAGTTAAAGTTAAAAAATGCATGAGTGACCTTTGCAAAGTGGACAGCACTGTCCAGGCATGATTATAGGTTCCTTGCAAGATGCACATTGCTGCTCCTTACATATTGTTCCACCACCTGGTTGACACGTGCAGTTACGACATGGGCCATCACGCCATTCTTCATTCACGCTATATACACTACTTTTATAGCTGCACACTGCACCTGACGATAATGCATCTGAAATTTGCTCAACTATCAATACAGATTCCCTATAGGAAAGTTTAATTAAATTTGAGAATTCAATGACCAACGGTAATAAGCAAAAAGCAAAAAGCATACCGGAACACACGGGACAACACCTTCCCTTAATTGTTAATGGCATTCCACGACAGTTTGTTAGTTGTTGACATTTCTCCTCGAAGCATTTGATTTTAGTTTCTTTATCCACCAAAACACATCTGAACATATTACAATTTAGTGTACAAAATCCATAAATTCTAATACTGGCTGAAAGGGAAATAATAACTTGTTAATAAATTATACCAAAAAAAACCAAAATTTATGGCTTTAATGTAATTTATCCCAAAGTTTGATCAATTTTTGGATTTATAGCATACTTGCAAGACGTGCATTCATCCATTCTCCAAGTGGAACCAGCGACGCGTGCCACGTGGTTGTTATCCGTACAAACTATACCACCAACATTAGACATCAAATCTTCAATCATCAATGAATCACTTTCATCAGGGCATCTGAAGTATTTAGTAATCCGTTTCTAAGTGTTCGACTAAAGGTTGCGAATGAATCAACAAAAACTCTGACTAAACGTCACACTTTCATGAAAATGATTTTATAAAATCTTGCAAAAATTCATGCTGGTGTTGCTTCTGTCTACCAAAATTGAAAAAAATTAAAATCTATAGCAACAGTTATTAAAAGTTGCTATAGTAATTACATAATGTGTGAAAATAAATATTCTAATAAAATCGTCAGCGAATTCAGTAACTAAATTAATGATCTTAAACATACTTGGGACAACACTGATTTTTTTCATCGAAAATCGGCGTTTGACACGCAGTTGGTGGGCATTCTACCACACGGCATAATACGTTACCTACACGACACGTGCATGACGTACACGGTGCTAACTGCCACGTTTCTCCATCAACAAATAGTCGTCCAGCACTTTGACATACTGTATGCTCATGTTTAGATAGCTCTGTAGATGGTTTCAGATCGCAACTCGCACAACAAGCATCTGCAAGATATGAAAAGAATACACTACAAACTGATTGTCAAATTCTTCATAAATGTATCTAAAAAAGGAATCGATTTCCGCAGTAGAAAATTTTCACGTTTATTACTTAAGATCATCAAAATCTTTGATTAAATACATACATGTAAATGATCAAACTTTTGTAAGAATATTTTTTTTAAATATTATACATTTAATAAACTAACAACATTTTCTGCCAAAAAATTTACTGAATGCATTAATTTTCTACCTTCCTTTTTTTTCCAATGTTCAAGAGGACAGGTTTTGTTTCGCTCTGGACAGGAAATTAATGAACAAAATTCCTATAAACATAAATTTGAATGCTATCAATAAATTATTAAATTACTAAAGATTATCTCTTCTCATAACTAACAATGATTACATTCATAATACTAAATTTTGAACGATTAATTTTAAATATTTAAAGCGAAAAT